GCGGGGCTGTGGCCCGCGTCCCCAGGACTGGGCACTGGACGTCAGAACAGCATTGGCTCACCGCCCTGAGGCCAGCAGCTCACGGTCAAAGTGTCGCTCCTGCTGGTGGTTCCATCAGCCCGGCAGGTCCTGGTCACCTGCCGGCCCACGGCAGGCCCAGCCCCTGGGGCACGTGTAGGTGCTTTCTGCCCCCCACCCCAGGCCACAGAGCCCGCCGGCACTGCCCCTTCAGGTGAAGCCCTGGACCCTGTGTCAGGACCTCAGGGGCCCTGCCCTGCCCTGGGGGGACCTGCAGCATCCAGGGTCCCTGCACCCGAGACTGTGGCTGCAGGGGCGTCGGGGTGAGGTGCTCAGGGGCTGGCGCGGCCCCCCTGTGCGCGTCCCACCACAGAGTTTCGCCTGAGTGAAGGCGGGGCCACAGGCCAGCCGTGCTGAGGGTGGGGGGCCACAGTGCAGCAGCCTCTCCCTGCAGGCGGGTACTGGGGACGCCCAGCCCAGCCCACCCAGAGCCGCCGCCGCCGTGACCAGAGCCGCCCTGGGCGCTTGGCCCTCAGGCTGCTTTTCAGGGGGCGCAGGTGCAGAGGGTCAGCTCAGGGCCCTTGGTCTCTGGGTGGGCCCCCCCCCCCCGTCACGGGCCCCACGAGCCCGTGGCCGGCCCCGCAGCCCCGCCGTCCTCTGCGGGGGAGGGAGTGCACCCTCAAAGAGGCCGTCTGCCCGGGGGCCTCATTGTCCCCAAACCTGCGTCCAAGGGTGTGCTCACCGATCAGAGGGAGAGGCATCGAGGTGAGAGAGACACGCTGGTCGGTTGTCTCCGCCCGAGTCCCGACTGGGCTCAAACCTGCGACCTCTGGGCACACGGACGACGCCCCAGCCCTGCCAGCCGCCCCACCAGGCGGCTCCCGTGCCTTCTGACGAACCTTCCAAGCTTGGAGACGTGTCACCCGGCTGCCACTTGCTCCAGCCAAACCCCACGCCGGCAATTAAGCGATCAGGCCGGTCCCGACGGCGTCCTGACAGCCTCCGAGTGACGGCCTGCCCGGCAGCCGGGGCTCTCTCCACGGCGCCCGAGCGGAGCTGGCTCCCAGAGACGGTTCCACTCCACATCCCCACAAAACGGCAATTAAACGGCTCCCTTGCCTGGAAAAGCGAGGGTCCCCCGGGGCAGCTGCATGCAGGGCTCCCCGTGCTGATCGGTCTTAATTTGGGGAGCGTGGGTCAGAGAGCAGAGAGGCCGGCGGCAGGCAGGCAGGGCCGGGGGGGTGGAGGGGACCAGGTGGAGAAGTGCCCCTGTGGGCGAGAGTGTGACCCGCCCAGTGACACTGTTAGCAGAGCCCTGGGGTGGAATCAGGTGTCCCAGTCAGGACAGGGCCACCCCGGGGCCCGGGTGCGCCACAGTCAGAGGGAGACGCCTGCTGGCCCTGGTGATGGGGCGCTCGGGGGCTGGAGGCGGGGAGGCAGGCGGGAGCGGGAGCCGGGTGGGCCTGCTGAGCGTCCCGGGCCCAGGCAGGGTGACCTGCAACACCCCGGACTCGGTGAGCCCCTGGGGAGGCCGGCGGGCTCTGGGGCCAGGAGCCGCGGCAGCCAGCGGGGCCCCCCCCACAGCATCCCGGGCACGTGACAGACGAGGAGCTGGAGTCACGGGGTGGGTGTCAGCGACCGCAGGGGCCGCCACTTCCAGCCGACACCCAGCCAGCCCACCTGCTCCCGCCTCCCAGCCCGGGCCCCTGTGCGGCCGAGAGACACCCCTCTCAGCCTCCCGCCCGGGAGCCTGGGGGCAGCCCTGCAGAGGGCCGCCTGGCCTGTCTCGGGGGCCACCCCGGTGCTGCCCACCGCTGTCCCGGGCCATCGGCCCGGCTGGCGTGCAGGTGCCGGCTGGTGCTCGGGGGGTTGGGGGGTAGTGCGCACGTGGGGACACAGGAGCAGCAGGGCCTCGGGGGCCTGGGCCTCCCCCCCCCCCCCGCCCTGCACTGCTGCCACCGGGCTCCCGGCTTGTGGACGCTGCCACGCCACCGCGTCCCTGACCACGGTCTCTGCCTGCGCCCAGCGCCCAGCGCCCAGCGCCGCGCTCACGCCCCACCTGCCAGAAGCCCCGGGAGCCCCAAGGCAGGGCGGGGGGTCCGCTGTCAGGGGACTCTGTGCCTCAGGCCCCAGCTCGGCCCCGGCTGCCCGGCCACCTCCCGGCCGCAGGCAGGGTCCAGCGTGCGGCCGTCCCTCGGGCAGCCTCGCAGGCTTTCGCCGAGGCCCGGGGAGCGAGGGAGTCCCTGCCGGCACCGCCGTGTCCTGGGCCTGGCAGGCGCTTTCCGGTGTCGGCTGCTGTCCTCGCCGCCACCCTCCTGCTGCTGCGGCTCCGGGCCCACGGCCGAGACCGGGCCGTCCTGCAGAACCTGCCGCAGGGCCTCCCGGGGTCTCACGGCGCCCAACCCGGGCAGCCCACCCAGGGCCCTGCCCGCAGCCAGCCGGGTGTGGCCAGGGGCGGCCTGGGCTCATGACCCTGGTCTCTCTGCAACTCCAAAGTACCTTCAGGAAGGACTTCCGGCCAAGAGGGAGGCGTAGGTGGATGCACCTTGCCTCCTCCCGCAATCCAGAGAAGGGCAACAACAAATGTAAAACGACCGCCAGAACTGCCAGGAAACCGAACTGTATGCAAATCCAACAATGAAGGAGATAAAGAAGAAACACTCACCCAGGCCGGCAGGAGGGGCGGAGCCGGGCAGCCGGGCGGAGAGGGTGCTGGGCGTGGCGGCAGCTGGCAGACCGGGCGGTCCCACACTTGCACGCAGATAAGCCAGGAGGGACAACTGGGCAGTGAGACACACCCAGGGCCCCGGCACGGGGAAATCAAACCTCTGACTGCAAACACCTGCGGTGGTTGAGGTGGTGGCCGGAGAAACTCCCAGCTTCGCAGGAGAGTCCGTTGGAGAGACCATCAGGGCCCTGGAGGGTGCCCAAGCCCTCCCACCCGGGAACGAGCACCAGAAGGGCCACCCTTGCTCGAGGGAAGCGGGGGAAGGGACTGAAAGCCGGCTGAGGGCAGAGCAAGCGCCACCCTAAGGAAAGTTCTAAGGAAAAGAAGATCAAAACTACGAACAGTAAAATGACAACAAGCTCACAACTATCAACAACTTAACCTAAAAAACAAAAACAAAAAACTCAGCAAACAACCAGAACAGGCACGGAACCACAGAAGTGGAGATCACATGGGGGTTCTCGGCGGGGAGGAGGGGAGGGCAGAACAGGGGAGAAGGTGCAGGGAATACGCAGCACAGAGGGTGGGAGCAGAACAGACGGGGTGGGGGGGCAAGGACAGTGTGGGAACTGGAGACGCCAAAGAACTCGTGTGCACGACCCACGGACACGAACTGGGGGGGCGGGGGGATGCGGGCAGAAGGGCAGAGGGGAGTGAAGGGGGGAAACGGGACAGCTGTAACAGCACAATCACTAGAATATGTTTAAAGCTTTGAAACAGCCCCCAGGAGTGAAAATCAGAGCCCCAAGTTGCTCCTCTGTTTCTGCGTCCACTTTCCCGATCCCCCAAGACCGTGGGCACTCCTGGAAGGCCGCAGGGGGCCCCGCAGGCCAGTGGGGGGACGGGCACTCGGGCTGCAGGGTGCAGGCACCGTCCAGCTGCCGTGCGGGCCACCCTCGCCCTGCTGTCCCGCCCCTACCTGCGGCAGGGGGGAGCGGGGGCTTCCTCAGATGACGAGCCGCTCACCCCACCCTTATTCCGGGTGCAGACCCAGGGGCTGGGCTTGGGGGCGCCAGCTCGCTGCAGGCGGGTGGGGATGGGGGTGCAGAGGGCGGCCAGGGGCCAGGGGCAGCGAGACCCCCTCAGGGCCGGCTGGCTGCGGGCCTCTGCCTGGGGGCCCCTGGGTGCGGGCGGGGCCCCTTTCCCTGCGAGCGTTTATCCTCGCCGGCTGATCGTTGATGTTTCCTGTCCACCTCCAACTGCGGGTGCCCGTTGCGCAAACACCCACTGATCTGCAGATGTGGGGCTGCTGGGCAATGCTGTTTTGTCCCGTTGAGTAATTTGTCTGTGTTTACAGCAAAACTCTCGTCTGAACTCGCGCAACTTCTAGCAAGTTTTGAATCCAGAGAGAGAGAGAGAGAGTTCTCCGTCCTGCTGCTGTTTCAGGTTGCACAGCCGTGAAAAGTAATTCTTGGTCATTTTAAAAATGGTCTGCGTGCATATTTATTTTTTATAGGATTTGAAACTTTGTCTAAGCCCCTTCCACTTTGTGGTGACCAGCGGGCCGGCCTTTGCTCTGCGGGAGTTTTCTCGGACTTCACTTCTTCGTTGATGTGAATTCCCGCCGGTCTCTTTCCTGAGTCGGTCGCTCCTGCTGTTTTTGCCGCCACCTAAAAGCCCCTCTGGCCTGACTGGTGTGGCTCAGTGGATTGAGTGCGGGCTGCGAACCAAAGTGTCGCAGGTTCAATTCCCAGTCAGGGCACACGCCTGGGTTGCAGGCCACGGCCCCCAGCAACCGCATATTGATGTTTCTCTCTCTCTCTCTTTCTCCCTCCCTTCCCTCTCTAAAAATAAATAAATAAAATCTTTTTTAAAAAAAAGCCCCTGGGAGCTGCTGTCAGGAAACCGGTCACCTGGGACGTGGTCACCTGTTTCTGCCTGTTCCGTGACGGGAGCTTCCATGGATTCGGCTCCCCCTGCGGGCACAGCCTCGTGGAGACCCCTTTGTCGTCCAGAGGGTCTGCGGTGGCCTGCTTGCTCCCTGTGTCCAGGTGGCTCCCAGGCTGCCTGGGGGATTCTTGGCGGCAGCGTCTGCCGCCCCAGCCCCCCCTCCCGGGACGGCCCCTCCCACGCTGTGATGGGGGCCGCGGGAGCAGTCTCTCTGGCGTCGTCGGGGCTCATGATGGGGGTAGAATTCTTCAGACGAGGAGAGGCCTTGTCCTCTGACAGAGGTGGGGACATGTGACAACAGCCGGCCCCCACCGGGCCAGGCTGGCCCCCTCCCTGGACTCCTCCGGCGTTGCCTGGGAAACGGATGAAGGGCACCTCCAACAAACAGGACCCCAAGGCTCGACAAGAGTGTCACCAGAAAGGCTGGCCGAGGCAGCAGGCCACTGCAGGTGAGCATCCCCCCGCTGCAGGCGCAGTCCCTCCGCTGCAGATGAGGACCCCCCGCTGCAGGTGCGGCCCCCCCATTGCAGGTGCGGCCCCCCCCATTGCAGGTGCAGTGCCCCCCGCTGCGGGTGCGGCCTCCTCCCAGGACGCTCCTCCGTCCCCCACTTGTTTCCCAGGCTCACTGGGCCCCGGTTTCCCCTCCTGTGGTTTATTCCCTACTTAAGCCTGTTCTGGCTTCTATTTCATTAAAAAAGATATTTTCCTTTAGCTGTTTGAGTTCCTGATTGATGCTCTTGTGTCTTTTTTTTTTTAACTTTTCTTATTCTTCCTTTTTCTCGCAACATCTTCCACGGGCCCGCCTTGGCTCCTCCTGTCTGGTCTGAGCCAGCACGAAGCTGGCCAGGCGAGCAGGGGCCTCGGGGGTCCTGGACGGGCCCCGGCGCTGCCGCCCTCGGCACGCTACCACCGGGGGTGGGGACCCACGGAGACGGGACCCCACCTCTGGGTCTCATCTCCAGGGACGAAAGGGAGGGACACCGTTACCCCAAGTTCATGTTAACGACTGCCAGACCGTTTCGTTTGGCTGGTGTTTGATTTTTGTCTTATTTCGTTTGCTGGGATGAAAACAGTCACCAGAGACACGTGACACTCACGTCCCCGACCTGGGCGTGTGCAGGTGCTCCCCACCCCGACCTGGGCGGCCTCGCACGGGCCGCCCGCTGCCACCGTCCGCATGCTCGGTGCCTCTGTCCCTGCGACACCCGGGGGTGGGGGGCCTGGGCCCCAGTGCGGTGGTGCTGGCAGGGGCGTCTTTGGAAGGTGATCAGGGTCACTTGAGGGGCTGAGAGTGGGACCCCGCGGTGGGAGCGGCGCCCCTAGAGGAAGCGGAGGGGAGAGCAGAGCCCGAGGGCACAGGGAGCAGGAAGCAGCCCCGCCCCCCCAGCCCACAGGAGCCAGAGCCGTGGCACCCCGACCCGACCCGGACTCCCCACCTCCAGAACCAGAGACGGCGGCGCCGCTGCGGCCCCCGGCGCCGCCCCCCCCCCGCCCCCCCCGCGGCGCTCGATCCCAGCAGCCGACTGACAGGCGCTCGCTCCTTCCAACCGGCGGTGCTGCCCGGCCGGGCCTCCTGCACGGCTGTTTCAGGGTCTTCTCTGCCTTCCAGGGGGACGGCTCGCCTTCCCTGTGGGCCCGGCCAGGCCCTCGCTCCCGTGTAATCAGCGCGGAGCGCGGATGCAACAGCTGTCCCTCCCCCCAGAGGGCGGTGAGCTCGGGGAGGCGGCCAGGAAACCAGCCGGCCGCGACTCCTCGCCGGCAGCGCCACCGGCAGTGCAGGCGCGGTGGGGAGGCACCCGGGCCCCGGCACCGAGTGCCGCCGTCTGGTCCCAGCAGCTTTGTTGTGTCATGTGCTGCCTCACCACCAGGCCCCCTGCCGCGCAGCCGCCCCCACTGTGCTGTTTCAAAGCCCCCCCCCCCCCCCCACACGCTCGGAACCGGCCCGGGGCAAAAGCCGGCGCGACCTCCGTCTGGCAGGTGTCCTGGGCTCTGGAGGCCGGAGGAGGCGCTCAGGGACCCTCGGGCTGCGGCCTGGGCCTCGCCCCAGCCCAGGGGGCTCCCCCACAGACAGAGGCCCCCGGAGGGCTGCACTTGGCATCACGGAGGGTTCCCCCCTCCTCTCGGCCACCTGCGGTTCCCCTGACGGGTGGTCGGGCGGGGGCCCTGGGCTTGGAGAGTCAGACTGGCCTGGAGCCTGCACCCGCCTGTCCAGAGGTGTGGACGACCTCGCGCGCAGGTGCCCCCAGGTGAGAGCCAGCCGCAGTCCTCAGAGCCTGGGCTGCCAGTCGCCCAGATGCTGCAGGCCCTGGTTGTCGCTAATTTACTGCAAATTGTTTGGGAAAGCCGGTTTAATTAAAGTCTCAATGAGCCTCCCTGGGGGGCCCCTCCCCGGCCCCGCCGGTGTGATGAGGAGCGGGCGGCGGCTCAGGGCTGGCAAGGCTCCGCGTTCTGTCGCCTCGAAGCCACACGCCGGCGGTGGGCGGCAGCCAGGGCGGGCTGGGTGCGCGGACACGCGGAGTCCAGCCGGAGCCGGGCCGGGCCCGGGGCCTCCCCTTTTCATCGGACCTCAGAGGCAGCGGAGTTGCTGAGGGGCAGGCGGGGGCCACCCGGGGCAGCTGGCGGGGGTGTGGCCGTCTCCTGTAGGTTTAAAGCCACTGTCTGGGGCGCGTCCATCTCGGCTTCTGTCGGGGTGTCACTGACGGGCTGAGGAGCCCCGTGGACTCCCAGCGCCCCGGCCGCCCCAGGGATGGGGTGGGGGGGGGGAGCCGAAGGCCCGGCCAGCGGCCTCCTCCCGGGGGCTCCGCCTCCCTGTCTGCGAGGGAGAGGCCTGGACCCAGCCAGCAGGCCCAGCTCCCTCCGAGTTCCTCTCCTCTGGGCAGCGGCACCGCGCAGGGCAGACGCCCTGGCTTGCAGCCCCCCCACCAAGGCCCACTCTCTTCCTCCGGCCAGTGTCCAGCCAGAGCTGACGGGCGAGACCCCAGGAAAGGCTGGGTGGGGCTCGAGGCGGCGCCCCTTCAGGCCTCAGCTGTGGGAGAGGCAGGTGGCCCGGCCCCCAGGGTGGAGGTCAAGGCGGCCTCCTCTGGACGGAGCCGGACGGCTGGGGAGCAGGTCCCAGCAGCTCTGCTTCCAAGGGGTGCCCAGCCTCTCGGGCCTCCTGCCCCCCGCGGTCAGCTGGGGAGAGTCACCGTGGCTTTGCCCTCTGGTCCAGCGGCCTCCACGTGTTCCAGCACAGAAGGTTCCAGAACGGTGCCGAGGCCACAGCAGTCACTGTGTTAGCGGTGCCCGTCTCTCCCCTTGGGCAGCGCCTGGGCCCACGTGCCTCTGCATCTGCCCTGGGCCCTCGGCTGCAGAGTGGTGTCCAAGGGGGCGCAGACGGGGGACAGGTGGGTGGGCGGGTGACAGGTAGACGGAGGGGGTGCATGGGTGGACAGATAGGGGGCAGGTGGACGGACAGGGGCTGGACGAATGACAGATGGGATACTGGACAGGTGGACAGGTGGACAGGTGGGTGGACAGGCTGGTGGGCAAGCAGGGACAGGAGGGTGATGGGGACCGGGGACGAGCGGGTGCGGGCTGGCTGGGTGGGTTCCGAGACACGGCACCTCGGCCTCCGGGGAGCTGGCCACCCCTGCTCCGGCTCCGGCTCCGGCTCATCTAAAAGCTGCAGCTGCTGGTGGGAAGAAAGCCCCGCTCTCTGCGAACCAGGTCACCCGGCTGCGGGGGTCCGCCCAGCTCGGCAGACGGTGGGGGCAGCCGCCCGGCCCACCCCTTCCTGCTCCTGCCCCCTCCCGCCCCCGGCAGTCCCCCTCCCAGGCCGAGGGCTGGCCCCACCTGCCACCTCCACCCCAGCCGAGGCTACACACACACACACGGACGCTTTTCTTGGGGGCTCTTCAGTGTTATGATGAATAATTGAAACTGAGCCACAGGAGTCGAAAGAGATGAACCTCTTGTAGCCGGGCGGGGTGGGGGGGCCACCCTCCCAGCCCGAGACGCCACACATACAACGAGGACACGGAGTGAGGACAAGGCCCGGGGATTTGCGGCCACGGCCTCGGGCCCAGGTGCCGCCCGCGGTGACTGCATGACTGCACTCGCGACTTTTTATGCGAGATCGAGCGCCCGAGCAGCCGGAACGGGGCGGTGACAGGACAGTGTAATTGCTGTTTCGCCCCCGCCGTCCCTCGGGAGAGCGATGCGCAGGCGGTTAGAGGAGTGTTTCGTGAGACAGCGCAGAGAGCGGTTCACGAGGTTCTGCGTTCATGTGCTTCCTGAGGTCTCGGCTGCGAGACAGCGGCCCCCCCCCGGGCAGGGGGGTCAGCACCTCCGGGACCCCAAGGCCTTCCTGGGTGGCGCTGGACGGGGGCAGAGAGAGGAGGCCCTGGGTGGGGGGACCGCAGCCCCGGGGACCAGTCTGTCCACCAGCCGCTGCGGGGCGGGGGGGGCACCTTGTTTTCTCTCTAGTTACACATGCATTCACTCGCTCGCTCGCTCATTCACTCGCTCTGCACCAGGTGCCTGCTCAGTGACCCCTGGGGCCTCCCACGACGGCGGAGGGAGGCCTGAGCCGGGGGGCTCGCCAGGCCCAGGCCCCGGGCCCCGAGCGCATCACCCCGTGGGCAGCGGGGAGACGCGGAGGCCTGCTGGCCGGGCCGAGAGATCAGTTCCACTGATACTCACTCAGCGCCGTGACGACGGCGCGGCAGCCTGTCTGCAAGGCGAGTTTTTGTCTGGAAAAGGCATAAATCTGGCGTGGGGGATGGGGAGGGGAGGGAGAGTGACGAGGATCGCAGTGTGTTAGCCCCGGCCCCGCCTCGCGGCCGGCCGCGTGGTGATGAACGGCTCCTCGAGAGCCCGCAGCCGGGAGGAGGCCGGGAGATCAATCTTGTCTCTAATCTCCGGCTCCGCCCGGGCCGCACCCGCTCCTGCTTCCTTCCCGGCGCGCTCAAAGGACCCGAAGGTCAGGCTTTCCCTTTGAAGGAGTCACTCGGGGCGGCGGGTGCCCTGGAAGGGCCGCCCCCGGGCTGGAGGCCCCTCGGCGGGGGCCCGAGTGGAGGAAGATGGGGAGCAGCTGGGGCCTCGGGGTGCCGAGCACACCCGGGAGGGACGGGCTGGGGGGCGGGGCCGGGGCCGCCTCCTGAGGTCACGCAAATTAAACTCCGCTCTCTGGGCTACACCCGGGGCTGACCTCAGCGGCCGGCCTGGTTGAGCCAACACGGAACCTGCGTCAGGAGAGGCCGAGGGCACCGTGGGGTGGCGTTTCCCCAGCACCTGCCCGCGCCGGTCAGCCGCGGGCGCGAGCACCGGGGGCTGGGAGAGAAGTGGGGGGAGCCAGGCTGGGACCTCAGGGGGCTCCAGTCTCTCCGGGCTCACACGCAGGTACAGGCATGTGCACACACAGTCATACATGTGGACACCTGCACGTGCACCGTTACACATATGTGTATGCCTGCAACACACACACACGTGTGCAAACACTGCACACCCGCCCACTCCTGTGCACACGTGTGCACAGACACCCCACTGCATGTGCACACTCAGGCACTCACAGACGTGCACGTGCACAGCATACGCCCCTGCACACGCTCACCGGGGTCACTCACACACGCGTGCACACGCTGGGAGCACACGGCCCGGTCGGAGTCCCTAGTGTGACGTCCGGGGAAGGATGGAGCAGCATTGCGGGGGCCTGGTCACCGGCCGGGGTATGGGGGGCCACGGAGAGGAGCCTGAGGGCCCAGGGCTCTGTCCGGGGTGGGACCGAGAACGTGAGGGCAGGGGGCCAGGCGGGCGAGCGGGTGGGCGGGGGAGCAGGCAGCTGGTCACCAGCCACGGCGTGGGGGGGGGTTGTGGGCCCTGGCAGGGATGCTCCAGGTCCCCCCCCCCCCCGTGTGGTCCCTCAAACACTAACCGGGAATGAGAGGGGAGGGCACAGGCTGGCGGGGGCGGGGGAGGGGGGCTGAGCCGCAGATGAAAGGCCTTTGAGGCCTGGGGAGGAGGGGCTGGCGCTCAGCAGAGGAAATATTGAAATTAAATCATTTCCCAGGGTCGGGGGAACGTCCCATCCTAATTAAATAGCGGAGATGCTGGCGGCCTGCTGTCAGGGCGAGGGGCGCCGGGGGAGGGAGGGGCAGGTGCTGCCCTGGCAGAGGGGGATTAGCGGCTGCGCCCCTTTGATGCCCCCCCTCAGGGGGGTGGGAGGCAGCCGGCCGCACTAATTAGGGGCGAGCCTGCCACCTCCTGTCCAGAGGCACAAATCCATATTCAGGAGCTGGGGCGTGGGGCCTTGCCTGGGGGGGTGAGGAGGGCGGCACCCCCACGCACGCCGCCCCCCAGTCCCAGGCCACCCAGACTGATGCCCCGACCTCCCTCCCTCCCTCCTGCAGGGGGAGGCTCTGCTCCGGGTGGCCCAGGGCCAGACCCCAGTGCAGCCCCCAGGCCGGAGGGGCTGCGTCCAGGACGGAGGCCGAGCTGGGTCCGGCTGCGGGCGTGGCCTGAGGCCGGGGCGCGGAGTGGTCTGCCCTGTGGACTCGCCACTGGTGCAGTGGGGGGCGTGCCCCACCCAGGAGCCCCCGTGCCGGCCCCCAGACCCAGCGCAGAGACGGGGGCGGGGCTTACAGGCGTGCCCTCGGGGGAGGGGAGAGCCTGGGCCCACAGCGGCAGCGGCCTGCAAAGTGGAGCTGGTGTTCGGTGGGGGGCGGGGCGCAGCGGGGGCCGGAGCACGGAGCCCAGGCGCCCAGGGCCCCGCAGACCCGCCCGAGAACGGGGTCACGGCGGGGGTGGGGGAGAGGGCGGAGAAGGACCCTGCGACCCAGCGGAGCAGACAGACGGGGGCTCAGCCAGGGCACCCACAGCTGCCCCGGGCTGGGCAGCTCCTCCGCTCCCACGGCTCACCCACGGGGGCCCAGCCGGGGCCAGGGCCGCTCCCCGAAGCTGGCCTCCGGCCTGACCACGGGGGTCCTGAGGTGGGCCCAGGCCCCCCAGGCCCAGGGCCAGGGTCTGGCCTCCGCCCTCCCCGCCGGGGCCGTGTGAGAAGGGGACGCGGGCTGTGGGCCGGGCAGCGGCAGCGGTCAGTGCGCTCCGGCTGTGCGCTGGAGGGAGGCGGGCGGGAGGGTCCGGGTCCCTCCCGCTTCCTCGCCCCATCTGCCCGCACGCCCAGCCTGGCCCTCTGCCCGCCCACTGTCAGCGCCCGCCCGCCCGTCCGTCCGTCCGTCCGCCCGTCCGCCCGTCCGTCCGAGGGGCTCCACCGGGTCTGTCAGCGGGCAGCCCTCCTCGTTCCGTCCGGAAATGCCCCCACCTTCCTCCCCGAGAACAGTTTTCCTGCTCGCAGCGCGGCTTCCTTCCGGGACACGACGGACACTTTCCGGCCTCCGGCCTCTTCGCTGACCCCGCGGGCGAGCCCCTGCCCGGAGCCCCGCCCCCGCGCGCGGCCTGGGGGCTCTCTGGGGCCGCTCGCGCCTTCCCCCCGCCTGGGGCTTCCTTCCGGGCGGCCGCGACGCGCTTCGGCCCGGGTTCCCCGCGTTCACGGCGACGCGGGCCCTTGCGACCTGTCGGCCGACGCCTTCCACCGAGTCCAGGCAACTTCGTCCCCGCTGTCCTCTAAAGACCGCCGCGGATTTTACACTCCCGCTCGGCCGCCCCCTCTGACCCGCCCGGGACTGCAGGGGCCCCCAGGCCAGGCTTCCCAGCGCGTCCTCGAGTCTGCAGAGCGCCCCCCCGCCGCCCCTGCAGGGTTTCCCGTTCCTCCTCCTCCTCTCCCCTCTCCGGCTCGGTGACCTCTCCTGCCGGGGGGCGGGGGGGACTCCGCCTCTTCCTCTGCGCGTCCCCCCTCCCTTGGCCCCGCCCAGTGACCCTTCAGTCTCCGATTCTCGTCTTTCGGATCCCCATTTCCAGGGGGTTCTCCCCCGTACTTTCTGCTCTTCCTACAGCCACATGCAACCTGTTTGACCATCAGGAACGTATTTTCTGCTCTGGCTGGTGTGGCTCCGTGGCCTGTGGGCCGAAAGGTCGCCAGTTTGATCCCCAGTCGGGGCACAGGCCTGGGTTGCGGGTCGGGTCCCCACTAGGGGGTGCACTAGAGGCAACCACACACAGATGTTTCTCGCCCTCCTTCCTCCCTCCTCTCCCGTCTCTCTAAAAATAAATAAATAAAATATTTGATTAAAAAAGAGCAAGTTTTCTTTTACTTCATTAGCCATAATAACAACGACAGCTTTAAGATTCGTGGAGGGGCCACGTTTTGGTCCCCTCGAGTGCCAGGCAATCTGGGCCACGTCCCCGACTTCCCAAGCGCGTGGCGGCGCCGTGGTGTCCACGGTCGGGACAGACAGCCACCTGGTGTGATTCAAACCGGAAACCTTCCTCTTGGATGGGACTGGAGTCCAGGTCGGGTTGGGGGCTGGCCTGTCTGGAGCTGGCCAGCCGGGCTGTGGTCCGTGGTCAGCCAGAGGGGGCACAGAGTTTGCTCCCAGACTCCGGGTCCGCCCACCCTGGGGCCCTGTATGACCCCTGAGGGGCTGGGTGGCCCTCGACTTCAGGCTCTGGTCTTCAAGCCAACAAGGTCTCGGGTGGCGTGGGCGACTCCTCTGTCCTCCACGCTCCGTGACAGATGCGTGTCCCCTGCCACCCTCCGGGGCCCCACGGTAGACAGGGAGAGGACGGGGTCAGTGGGGCGTGACGGCCTCTGGGGAAAGCGTGCCATCAGAGGGCAGAGCTGAGGGGTCGGCGGCGGCGTGAGCCCGGCGGGACTCCCTCTCTCCTCCGGGGCCCGCTGAGCTCTGAGCGTCTGGAGAAACCGGCCGAGCCTCAAGCCACAGAGCCACCTCCCTGACCACAGAGGCCGGTTGCCCGGTAACCCCCCTTATGACGCCATCACCAGCTGCTGAGTCAGGTGCCCGGCCCAGGGGGACGGTCCACAGGGGGTCCGCACACACGGAGGAAGGAAGGGTCGCCGCGACCCTGTGGCGGCCGTGGGACGGGGGCTGGGCTGGGCGGGTGTGGGGCGGGGCTGGGAGGTGGGCGTGCTGGGCACAGTCTCGGGGGCAGAGAAGGAGGCCCCCATCAACTGGCAAAGGACAGGCGCCCCCAAGGCCCCTAGAGGGTGAGCGCAAGCACCCCAGTTCGCTGGGATGGCCTGAGCGCCCCCCCGTTTCCCGCACAGCTTCCGGGGGCCCCTCAGTCACTCCCCAGGGCCCGGAGCGCGGCCCTTCCGGTGCAGAGGGAGGCAGAGCGGGTCCCGAGGCCCTACTTTGGGTTCCGTGGCAGCCACGGCCGGACGGGTCTGCGGCCCCGGGCAGAGGGCGCGATGTGCCGTCCCCTGCCTCAGAGAGACCACGGGCGGCCCCAAGGACAGGCACACACCCAGGTCACCTGCCTCGGAACCCGCTGGGGAAGCAAGAGGAGGCAGGGGGTGTCTCCCTGTGGGACCCACCGGGGGACAGAGGCCACACGGGCAGGGAGATACCGTCGGAGCCGTGTTTGAGGGAGGGTCTGGCCGCTGCGGGGAGAAGGACGTGGTCAAGGTGGGGACTGAGGGCCAGGAGCCCCTGCAGCCAGACGTCCAGGCTGGGTGGTGGCCGGTGGGGTGGCCGGGAGAAGGGGCGGTGGACAGGAGACCTGGGTGCGCACAGGGCCGGCCCCAAAGCCCGTCCTGTGGGATCGGGCCGAATGGCAGGTGAGGGGGGCCAGGACCCCGAGTCACAGCCACGTCTCACCAGCCTCGCGAATAATCCAGTTACATCCCTGCAATGTACCGATCCGGCCAATCAAAGGGGAGTCATTAGCATAAATAAAGGGACGGGTCCTGGCGTCCGAAAGGCTTTGTCTCTTGCGACTGGGAGCCCTTGGGGTTCTGGTCCCCAAGTCCCTGTGCCCTTTGACCTCCTGGACCCCACTGGTCCAGCCACTGCCACACCCTGTCCCCCCTGCCTTCTGAGGACCCCAGGCTCCTGGGCACCCTGCCCCCCAGGGCAGGAAGGGGGCCCTCCTGGCTCCTGCGCCCGTCCGTGGATCTCAGGAGGGGCCCCCTCCGGTGGCTGCCTCCCTCGGCCCTGGGCACCAGCTCCAGGCCAGACTCCGCCCCCTGCGGAGGGCGGGCAGGGGCCCCGGGCACACTCCCAGTGCTGGACTCGGAACACGATGCTGGGCTCTGGACGCACAGAGGCTCCCCAGCCTCGGGCTCCCAGGCAGTGTGCACAGGAACCGGGGCTCCACCCCCCACCCCCCCGCACCTGCCGCATCCACCAGCGCCGTGTCCGCTCAGCCCCCCAGAGCCGGACTGTCCCCACCATTGCCATCATTCTAGTGTCACCTCGGCCCCGCCCCGTCTAGGCCACTCCCCTCCGGGAGACACGGGCCTGGTGGTCTCCTGCATCCCCCTCACCGCCCGGCCTGTGTTGGCCCCCCTCCCGGCACCCACCTCCCTCCGCCCTCTGCACCCTGGCCGGCACCCCGCCCCGCACCGGCTGGGAAATGCCCCCCACGAGCTCAGAGACCCCCACCCTCGTCCCACTGCTGCCTGCCGGGGGGCGGCCGCCCCCACCTGCCGACCCCCACGTGCAGCCTTAATTGACGGCAGCAAAACAAACATTTGCGCCGGCGATCCACGTTGAGTTGGACGCTCAGCGTTCTTTCAATTAGGCCGGTGATGGATGAGTCTCAATGAAGCAGCTGCTCCGCAGTCCCCAGGTGTGTGAATTAGACCAGCGTCAGGAGCGGGCGGCTCAGGGGCTGCCTCACCCGCGATGGGACAGCGGGGCGGGGGGCTGCGGCGTGGGCCTGGAGGGTCCCTGGGGCTCCCTCTGGGATCCCTGGGCGGCCAACCAGCTGCGAGGGTGGGTGGGACGCCCGGTGGGGCCCTGGGAGGGCAGCCCCGGTAGGTGGCCGGCCTGGTGGCCGAGTGACCCAGCCTCTGCCCCTCCAGCCTGCGGCTCCATCACCGGCGGCTCCATCACCGGCGGCCCCGAGAGCAGCACCCTGGGCCTCCGTCTGTGGGCTCCCACCCACGCACTGTGGAAACGACACGCAAAGTCAGACACACCTGCACCAAGACCGTGGGCAGTTAACCCTGACGCTGCGGGCGTTTCTTCTCGAACCCCCACGTGTCTCTCCCCCCCGGAGCTCGGGCCTCACTGTCGCGAGGTGTTCAACGCGTTTACCACGAGCCCTGGAGCTCGCCGCGTGCAGACCTCGCCTGGGAGCCCCCAGAGGACCGGCGCTGCGCAGTCAGGACGCGCCCCGGGCCTCCCCTGTCCCTGCGGGGGGCAGGGCAGCACCGAGACGCGAGGCCGTCCTCCCGGCGCCCTGCCCCCAGCCCAGCTTCCCCACAAGGACTCAGTCCCTGGGTCTGTCCCCCTGAGTCCAGTCCTTCATCCCACCACAGACTCTCCAACCTCGTCACGGGGGGGGGGCGGCTTTCCAAAGGACCGTGTGACGTCACACACCCATGAACACGCAGGCACACACAGGTGCCCCTGCACCACTCACACACACGTGCACCTCTGCGGGAGCCAGCGTCTGTGCTCGGCCGTCAGTCCCCCGCCCCACTGACCAGGCCAGGAGGGGGTGTGGGATGGGCCCCGGCCTTCCTGTGCTGGGACAGAGCCGAGGTTTCTGGAAGGCGGCCGACGCCCCGGCCTGCCCCACGGCACCGGGAGCAGAGCCTGGCCTCAGGACCTGTCGCCCGGCAGCCCCTCCCCCTCCCCCGCTCAGAGCCACAGGCCCAGACCCGCGTGGCCCCCCCACCCCGCAATGGCTCCACCTCCACCCGGCTCTCCCACCTGCCTGTGGTTCCAGTGACCCCAAGTCGCTGGGAACAGTAATATTTTAGCTCGGCTCCGCCACCATCACAGGTCCACTCGACACTCGGCGGGCGGCCATAACCATGAATTTCCCGGGCACCGAGTGTCACAGGGTTCCTCCAGGGCCGGCATGCCGTCATTCCCGAGAGCTCCCGGGACGGCTCCTGGATAGGCCGGGGGCCCCCTGAGCGGCAGTGGCGAGGCAGCCCCCACCCCAGCTCCCAGCGTCCTGCTGACTCCGGCCGCACTTCCTGGTAGAGAGGACAGCAGGCCGCCAGCCAGGACGTAGCAGTGACAAGGGACCCCACAGGGCCAGCACTGGCTGCCCAGGAATGGGGCAGCCAGAAGCCTCCGGCTCCTGCAGCCGTGACCCTCGGCAGACACAGCCCAGCTCCGGCTGGGCTAACGCCCAACCTCGACCCCCACTGCCCAGTCCGCACGTCAGGGCCTCAGCAAAGACCACAGGGCCCCGCAGACCAAGAGGCAACCCACCGCCCGACAGGGCCACGCGACTGCCAGGAGCAGGCCAAACTGCAACACGCGTGTTTGAGGGGAGGGGCGTGGCCGTGAACAGGGCGGGGGTCTGTGGGCCCCTTCCTCCAGACAGACCCCCAGGCTGGGCCCTGAGGCCTGGGTCACAGGTGCCCACTTGTAGCTCAGGCTCCAGTCCGGGAGGGGAGATGGGGACAGGGACGGGGGAGGTGTCGCAGGCCCCCCTGAGGCACCCCTCCCCAGCCCCTGCTAGGGAGGGGGCCGGACCTCCGTCCTCTGGGGGGTCTAAGGAAAGTCACCCATCTCCCACCTGCCCACCGTTTCCTGCCGTGCAGGAAGGAGTGAGCACTCTGAGACTCTCGTGTGCTGGGGCTGCAGTGGGGAACCGGAGGGTTTACTGACTCGCGAGGCTTTGTCCAGAGCGGGCCGCTGTTCCTCGTCCACGGCAGGACCACCTCTGTCGCCGAGGGCGGACCCCCGGCCTG